CAGACTGTCATACAACAACAGAGTGTCTTCAGTCAGAGGCTTCTCAGATCTGATGTAGGACAGATGCTACAAGAGATCCTTCCTGCCCACAGCCATCAGCATCTAGAACAACTCTTTAATGAAACCAGGATGATGAGTTACAACAACATTTAATTTACCTCTGGGATTAATAAAGTAATTTTGAATTGAATTGAATTGAATTTGAATTTGAATAAGGATGCAGCTGCTTCCCAAAAGTTTAAGAGTTCAGATGGGAAGCCATTTGGATATGTATCCTGATGCATGCTCAATAATCCAGGTAGAAAAATCTAAAAAAGTTAAATGTGGTCCTCTGGACATTGTCCAGAGGGACCAGATTTAACTTTTTTAGACCATTTGGATCTGGGCTTTTTGTTGTAAAAGGTAGACTGCAGCTTCAATCTCACCTTCTGTGATAGGAAGGAGATCAGGTATGCAAATATGTGAGAGCAATCAAATGAGTACAGCTGCTTAAAAATTACAATAAGTTCTATCAATTTTATAATTAACAGGATGATACTCCTGCACCAGTTTCAGTTCAAGGTATCAGCCAAGATGCAGGCATTTGTCACAGCTGATGAGTCAGCAAATTACTTGTCTCATCCTTTTGTTCATTAATTTTAGATCTCAAACTGAGTGGTTCAAGATCAGTGTTATGTTGTGATACAAACACGTTCATACTTTATACCTAGCTGACAGTTTTAAAGTTGCCTTAACAGAGTGGAAAGAATGCACTGCGCTCAGGCAACCTGGCTAGCTTCTCTCCTGGCTCTGCTGAGGCCTATAAGGAATAACTGCTCCCATTATTAACGTCCTCACAGCTTCTCAATGCTATCTGAAATTTGATCATTCTACAATTCAGTCTAAGAGAATGTGAAGAAAAGCTATCCCATATGAAAAGGAAATAATTTATAAAGCAGAAAAGATTCCACAAACCAAAGAAGGTTTAATTATTATATACCCGTCAGTCAGTTATGTTCTTTAAAGCTGAAACGTGGTAATTATTTAAAAGGAAATATAAATCAGTACCTTGTGCTTTAAGTAAAACATTGATACCATGATCAGCTGAGTATTGTACCCAGGACTACAGCAAGAGATAAACCCAGTACACACTGATGTTATGTTATTACGTACAAACTTTACAGGCTATTCATGAAAAGCTTCAGTCTGCAGGGAAAACGTCTTTAAACAACTTATTTTGCTGATGAGCTTCAGACTGTTGCAGAGCAGTGAGTGTCTAAATAAAGGCTGAATGAATGCAAAGAGGTGCAGAGGAAAAAAGGTGTCTTGCAGAAAATCTTGTCTGTTTAGCTTAAAATCCTAACCAGCTTTATTGTATTTGACAACACTTTAATGCAGCAGTGAATAAAAGTGAATAAGTCTGTGTTCATTAGTCAAGCTGTCCAGATCAGAAACAGTTGCACTTTGCAGAGCGACATACTTCCAGCAGTGTAACAGCAATCACCCCCCCCCCCCCCCCCCCCCCCCCCCCCCCCCCCCCCCCC